GTATAGTTTTACAAGACCATTATCCACCTAGCTATTCGGGAAGTGGGATCCTTGCTGCTGGTGGTCCGGTGACAAGTGAGAAAGGTCAAAGGTCAAATTCTCCCCCCCCCGACTCGAAATCCTCTCCTTTCTCAATGGTCGTCGTGTTATTCACAAAAGAATTTTCTGGTGAAGATACATTAACGGGAAGAATAGAGGCTAACTTAGTTCTTTTGCTAATATGAATAAACTAGGGAGTAAAATTGGCTATTTTAACGTTAAAAGTCTTAGAATCATTATTTAAATTAACAGATCTTGTCACAGAGAATTTGCAATGTGAATTTTTATCAGTCGGTTCTAATAAGACAGTATCATAAGAATCATCAACTGTAGGAGCAATTACTTTTACTATACTTTCCAGAAAATGGCAAACATTTATGTTTATGTACAGCATAGCAATAATCTAAGGAATCTATCGATTTCAGAGGGAGGCAATTTGAACTGTCGCACCAGCTTAAAGTAAAATTATGACCTACTAATTCTTTAGTATTAAAATCCAGAATTAGTGCATTATCAAATAAAAATTTTGCTCCTAAAATGACACCATAGTGCAAAGAAAATTCATTGTCCTTATTGAGAAATTCAACTGAAAAAATCTTACCCATCAATTATACGGAAAATTAATTTTTCATGTAATTAGAACATTCTGATTAGAAATTCACTTTAAATAAAATTTACAGGGAGAAAATGAAACTTTATCCCCCAATTCTGCAATAAATTTTTCTTCTATAATATTAACCGTTGCTTCCAAATCTATCAAAAATTTAAGTTCAGTATTTAAAATAGAACCCTCTACTATTGGTAATGAAGATTCTCCTGTGGATACTACCAAGACGGATGGCACCTCCAAAAAGGCATTTGAGGATGAAATGGAAGTGTGCTTCTTCCCGCCCTTATCTAGTTTAAATTAAATGTCTGAGCCTGAGGATTCAATTTGCTAACAGTTGCACCTCAATCCTGGGATGCTACCGCTTAAGGTGCAGGTGCCATATTAGAATTTGGTCTACTCGTCGGTCCTGCCTTTCTTTGTCGAAATCTGTGTTCCAGTCTGCCCTGTTCGTTCAACTGAGTTAAATTCTGCTGTTGCAATCTGATAGCCTCTGCAAGCACCACATTTTTGTCTGAAATGCAAAGGGTGCCCCTGGAATCGACTGTGTTCATAGTATGAACCGCCTTAACTTGAGCTGACTGAAAATCAGCCTCAGCGTGGTTTTTTATCCCCATCTCTTCCTCCAAAATTGCATGATTTTTCGAGGCTGCAAATGTTTTATGACTGTGGGGCAGAAGACGATGTAGAAGGTGAAAGTGTAATCCTTCTAGAAAAACAGATAATAGCAATTCCTGTCTCTGCGCTTCTGCTGCCGAATCGCCCATCCTTTCTACCGGAACAGTTTTATATGGCAAGTTTTATACACACGGAGAATTGTCTAACTGACTCCCGTGGCTTTTGAAAAGCCTGTATAAGGGAACGAATATGGGAATGTAAACTTTAAACTGTTGTTAACCTGTTCCTCAAGGTAGGAACCTACCAGGTAGGAAAAGCTAGCTTCGTTTCTCAAACGCCGATTATTCCTAACAAATTCCGCAGCTTCGTCCAGTTAAGTTTAACTCGAATTACAGTAACCTTGTCTGGCTCCTTCCATCTTACATGTGATGCTATCAGGTCAAGTCTATCCAAAAAATCAGCCAGACAAATGCTATTTTCTCCCCCTGTTAATAATAGGAACTGAGTCCAAGAGCCAAAAACTGAGGAACCCTTTACGCCCGGGGTGTTCTCTTCCTGCATCTCTACTGACGGGTCGGGCTGCCTAGCAATACCCAGTGAACAGCGCGTTTTCTTAGACATAACGCACTCTAATATCTCCGAATCAGTCAAACAAGCTTAGAAATTGTCAAGCTAATCTGAATCATTTGCCAGTAATGCACAAAACTTAAAGACCTCTATTCACTGACAATTCCCAATTTACCACAAACCATCTCAATTATTCACATAAACTTAATAGAGTTTCCATAAAAATTATTGCAATCATGCTACTCACATTTCTCCTAATTAATTTTCACTCTGAGCATTAGTTGTAACAGTCCTAAATAAAAGTCCAAAGTCCAGTCCTAACATTTTCATGGTAAAATATCACTGTTTCAAAAATAAAAAATTCCTTATTTATCACACTTAATTCCTACAAAGTATAAGGCAAATTTCAATTATTCTAGGTAAATTATGACAAAACAATATTGGATTAACATGCCATTCCCACTGCGCAAATCCGTCCAGAAAAAAATTCTATAGAATAAAAAGTTTGTTCAGATAAGAAAGATCAACTACTCATTGAATTTTATTTAGTCTAAAAGTTTTATATTTATGAAATAAAGATATATATATTTATTCTAAATCAAAATTTGAAAAATATTTTGATTTTACAGATTTACTGATTACAGAGTCTACATCTCCCAAATCCACATATTCCGCATTTGAGAAAGTAGAAAATACAGAATTTTGACTGTGCCTGAGCTACAATCATCCTTCTCTTCTTTTCTATTCATTTCTATCTATCTTTTGTAGGTAAAAAAATTCCTAAATATTGTAAACAAACTGTCATCACTGCTGTTACCTTATACATTGGCTTCTCTGTTTTGTGCTTCCTCTAGAAATTTGGCCCTATTCTGTTGGTTTGTGATAGCAAATTTTGCATTGTTCCACAATATATAAAAATTATTCTTTCGATAAGGCTCATTTAATCTAACCCCAATTAATCAGAAGTTGACTGACAGATAACAAAAGAAATAAAATTGTGTAATTCTTAATGTAGATTGGCTTATATTTACGTTATACATAAAACAGTGGGTCAATTTATCTTATTTAATAACAAGGACCTAAACAATAGATAAATAAAACAGTAGTGTAACATTGCTTTTATGTACAAAGACAGCAAAAATATAATACTTTCAGCCAATATTACAAGCAAACTGAGGGATTAGCCATGGGAAGCCCCCTCAGTCCCATCCTGGCTGATATCTACATGCATTATTATGAATCAAAATTGTTTGAAACTTTAAACTTCCCGGCATGGTTCCGCTACGTAGACGATACTTTTACCCTGTTTGAAGGTAATAAAGATGATTTAAATAAAGTTCTTTCAACAATGAATTCTATTGATCCTGCTATTCAGTTCACTTTTGAACTTGAGACTTGCAATTCTCTTCCGTTTCTCGACATTCTGGTCACACGTAACACATCCAACTTCAGTACTACGGTTTACCATAAACCTTCATCGGTTTTCAATCATGTCCATCTTCACGTTTCAAATCATGTCATCCGACTAAACAAAAAAGTTAGCTTCATTTTATTCCTATGTTTTCCGTGCTCTTCAAGTTTGCTCCTCCAAATTCGCCCTTGATGAAGAACTAAATTATTTAAAAGCAATAGCTATTGACAGGGGCTTTTCACCCAACATTATTAATCAAGCAGTTAAAAAATTCTCATCTCAACTCACTAAAAGGCGCACTCTTGTTTTAGGAGATTATAAAAATTCTGTTGTCATTCCCTTCTTTCCATCAATTAGCTATAAAGTTGCACATATTTGCAGAAATTTAACTTTCGGGTTGTTTATTCTCCCATCAATAAAATTCCAACTTCTATACTCAAGGACCCCATTCCGGATATGAATTCCTGGGGTATTTATAGGATTCCTTGCCAGTGTGGTTTAATTTACATTGGCCAAACTAAGAGAGCCTTAAAATTTCGCGTCAAAGAACATGAGGCATATGTTAGAAAAAAGGAAACACAGAAGTCTTCTGTTTGCTCAACATTGCTGGTCCGAAAATCACACTTTCAATTTTTCTGCTGCCAAAAATTATTCAAAAAACATCTTCCATTGGAGAACTGGATTTCTAGAGGCATTTCACATTCATAAAAATCTTTCTGTTCTAGTTAACGATCCTAATTCCAATCCAAATTTGCCTTCGGCTTTTAGAGAAATTATGTTTTAGTTCTGGTTTCGCCAACAGATGGCGCCACTTGCTTATTCTTGTTCAGGCTTTCTTATCTTATCTAATCATTATTTCCTATCTTGTTCATTTGCGGTTTTGCAGCTGAAGATGATGGTTCGGTAAAACCATCGAAACTAGTCCTGTGAAAATTTTGTAGGTATAACACTGATTTTTGTTGTTTGACTTCTGAATTAGTACTTTCAGCCAAATTAATTATTATTTAAATGGTAAATATATTTCTTATTATGCAATCAAATATTACATAAACGTCAGCTATCATTAAAAAAATAAAACGAGGATATTCAGTTTTTTAGATCAAAAGCTTAACCAGAGCATATCTTCATAATCTGAGAAATAGTTTTCTTAAAAATTTATCTTTTGCATCCTGTAGATATTTTCAAGCAGTTTTTTCAAATCAATCCCAAACTCTGAAAATTAACATTTTGCTATCAGAATGCACAATACCTCCAAAACTGTAAAGCATCCATCTTCACAAAGATACTTAAAAAACTTTATGTACTTTGATTACTTTTTATTCTTTGATTGAAATTGTTCTGTAACAGAAAACTTTATTTATTTTTTGGATTTTTAATTGATTTAAATATAGCACATTAAGTTAAATTATTAGAATGATTTGAAAACATTAGAATAAAATACTTAACTATGCCACTGACTGACATAAAAATTTTGTAAAACATGCATAGCTGTAACATAACAGCATATTTCTTCCTTTTTTTCCTCTTTAGATGGAATGTTAGATTCATTTTGAAATATTTTCAATTTTAATGACTACATTTAGGCAGTACACAATAATAAAGAATCAAATTGATATCCTTTGGCTTTCCATCATGCTGCTCTCTAAAGAGCAATACAAAATTTTGTTTTACTCCAAAAGTACAGGGAATTTTTCAAGCCTTATAAAATATTAAATTATTAAGTAATTAAGAAAAATGTAGAAATTAAAATAAACCTACCATACTGGAGGCCATCTATTTCTATTTAAATAAGCTTGATTTTCTGGATGAAGATTACGAAGCAGTTTCGGTGTCTTACGACAAATGTCATTATAATTTACTGCAATGTAATACAAGCACCAGTCAGCTAACTGATCTGCATTATGCATCTGAAAAAAAAAAAAAAAAAAAAAAAAAAAAAAAAACTTTTCATTAGACTATTAAGACTGATGCATTAAGCTCACAATAAATAATAAAAGTCAGAGCATTTAATTCCTTTATTCATTAAATTACTGGAATTATTCCTTTCATATTCCAAGAGCTTAGCATTAGTTATTAGCAATTCACTACGCTAGAACGTTTCTGAAGCAAATTCCTTTTTACCAGAACAATTATAACCTAATTAATTACTTAACAACATATTATAATAAATAATCAATTTTAGCAAGTTCTCATTTGTTAAAATAGCATTAGAAAAATAACACATAAAAATCTTACACATAACACACAAATGACAAAAATTTTATATCAAACCGAAAGTATTTAGAAATATTTTTTTAAGCATATGATTGAAAGCATGAGATTCTTTGTAAATGTGTCTGCACTACTGGGGGTGTTTAAAAATTTGATGGGCCAAAAGTATCCCCGAGAGGTTGGCGGTAGGGAAAAAGGCCACAAAACTTCAATGTTCTCAATCAAAATTGGAATATTCCTGGAAAAAGTCAAACCTCTAGCAGTGAACAAGCCAGGGGATGCTTTCCTTTCACGCCACTTATGGTTACCAAATTTATTCATGTATTTTCTCTCTTTTTAACTACTTTTATTGCACAAAAATTAAAATAGAAAATTATGCTTTAGTTTTGAAAGACACAGTAACAGTGAACATGAGGAATTTAAAGTATTCATAGAAAAAATAATAATAGCTATTACAATATTATTTCTTTAACAAAAACCTACATCCAGACACCCATAATCCGGACCTCAAAGCTACAAACGTTCTGCGCATGCATCAAAGCATTATACCATGGAGGTAGGAAGTAAGACGGAGTAGCTCTAAACAGGTTTCTCCTGTACCCTACTCTGAAGCACTGGCGATCCTTACATGGTGACCAAAACATTGGGTCATTTACCATTAAGTTCAGTGGGTTTTGATGTGATCGGATATAAATATTTTGTAATTACGTCGTAAATATACATATAAATGTATATATTTTCTTTTCTTCAAAACTTCAGCGTCCTAAGTATAAGAAAACAACATATTTTTAAACAACATTTCATTCTGAACAGAATTAAATGCTATACTTTTCACAGAACAGTTTAATTTGAATGAAATATTTTCACAAGTTTTCGTTAATTACATTAGGGAAAAAACTTAAGGTAATTTGATTTTATTCGATTAAGATAAAAAAATTAAGATCAAAGTTTATTGTATTATTAATATTTAAATTATGCATTATTTCTTTTCTATTTATAGAGCTTCTTCCTAAAATACTTTCTTAAATATGACATGATATTTTGGCTTCTGAGGCATATTTTAAATCGAAAAATATAAGTCAATTTATAATTAATGCTCTATTCGGTTCATTTTAAATTACAGAATTATTAGAAATTAGCAAAATACTTTAAATAGTACTTAACTTTCTATGAACATTTCTGAAAGGGGAATAAAATAAGGATTTTATTTTTAATTAACCTAAATAAGTAAAACGTGTGTAAGCCAAAGTGATTATTTTTCAGATATATAAAATTAAAACGATGGGGTTAAATGAGCAGCAGTAGCCTCTCCTCTACAAAATTTTAAAAGGTACATGTTTACAATAAATATGGAGTGAAAAAAAATTTATTTATTCAAAACATTTGGAACATAAATAAAGTACGAATACTCTATCAGGGTATCGAAGCGTATACAATTTAGATGTACCGTAGGTATTTTTCATTCTTTAAGCATAACATTTTTGTAAAATCTATATTTTTGTAGTTCCACCATTAGAATTTTTAAAACAATTCATAATCAAATCGCTGTTTTAGTTACAATAGCCAAGAGTGATTTTGTGTAAAATGTCACTAAACTATACAAATCCATCAATATGGATGTTTCTTTCATGCGAAAGTGTCCCTTTTTCGATTTGTATGGAACTGTCATATGTTGAAATACTATCAGAACACTGTCAAGCGAGCTTCTGAATATAAACAATGAAAACCCAATCTGGTGACCGAAGCTTCGAAGCAGTGCTTCACTTCTAGTGCCGGTTGGCCACTCCTTCCTTTCCTACCTCCATGTATTATACGTTGACGCATGCGCGTAATACCTTTACGCATGCGTATATGCGTGTACGCATGCGCGTTTAATGTATAACGGAAGATATAAGCTAAGCTAAAACTATCTAATTATCTATTTTAGTTAATGTTGCAGATTGCGTTGTTCCTTAATCTTCGAATTTTTTTAAGACTGTTAGAGCAATTTTATAAAAGTAAGTTGGAACTTTCGATTATGTCAAATAGAATTTCGAGCTGGGCTTGCAAAGGATCTGCAAAGGGAAAGCATGTTTCGATGTTCATCAAACAAAAAGGTTAAATTAAACAAAAACAAACAAAAAGTTTAAATTGTTTTAACAAAAAGTTTAAATCGCTGCAAAAAATGGATAAAGACTCCTTTGTTTCTCTAACCATTCCGAAATCTGTTTATCAATTTCATGCTGCTGCTCTGCAGGGGGGGGGACGTCGTGGTGCGCAATGAAACAGGAAGTTGATCTGTCAGCACTATCCTTATCTTCAGGGCAGATGTTTTTACTTTATTCGGCTTGTAATTCCTTACTAAATATAGTATTTCATCTCAATGTACTCCGTCTTTGATATGATTTAAATCAAATTCCTCGTCATTATAAATATCGCGAATACACATCAATAGTTTCTGGTTGCAATTTCTAATCTCGACTATGCGTAGTATGATTTACGCATGCGCGCATTGAAAGAAAGTTTAATAAAGTAAACAATAAATACTGACCTTTTTTTTTTTTTTTTTTTTTTTTTTTGTAATTTAATATCTTTAGATCATAATTGCTCTTTATTTCAAAAATTACGGTTCATATTTTTAATTTTATAATTTCTGCATGCCATCTTACCAGATTTAATGATCTATAATCCTGAAAAATCGATAATCCGTAATCGCCCCGAAGTCCCGACGAGTCCGGATTAAAGACTTTTGACTGTACTTACTTTCTTCAAGTTATTCACAATTATTGCTTCATCAATCAGAGCCCATGCACGCAAAACCCATGAGCAAATCAATCAGTAAAACGAAAATAACCATTATGTGGATAAATCCATTTTATGAATGCCTTGAGGGAAAAGAAAATAACTTGAATACTTTAAAGTTTTCAGAACTTTGTGCTAAAAGTACAGGGAAAAATATGCTAAGATATTAATTATGTCATTCTAGAGTAGTGCCTCTCTCACACTTTTAGTTTTCTGATCATTAATAATAATAATAATAAAATTCTCAATATCTCCCCACCGGGAAGAAGCCGTACCTGTATTTTTAAAAAAGTAAGTAAAAGTAAAACAGTAACCAACTTCTTTTGGATTGCTTTTAATATAAATAAAATTAACAATAAATATACAGTCATATTTAATTAATTTACATAAAGGACAGTACTATGAACTAAACTAATAACAACATAAGTTTAACAGGAAGCAGCAGCCTGATAAGCTTCTAACCCAGCGGTTCTCAACCTTTTCACTAATGTGTACCATCTAAACAAAAATTGAAAACCTTTAGTACCACCCCTAAATTTTACAATGATTTTTTTTTTCAATTTCTGAATAGAAATATTAAATAATAATAATAACAATAATAATAAAATCTGAATGCTTTCTGATTTTACATTATGCCCAAAGAGACGCCTTTTTTAGCCTTTTGTGTGTAACTTTTATTTATTAAATATGTTCTTTGCACTTAAATCATAAAATTCAATTCAACAGCAATATCGCAAATTAATTTTAAAATGAGCATATCTCTAGAATTTCCTAGCCACAGTCTTGCACGCTGGAGATAAAAAAACTTGTTGTTTTTTTTTTTCTGTACAGTTTTGGCATTGCTCACTTTGAAATCGTTGAGTTTGTTAATAAAAAATTCATTGTAAATTTAGTTTCAGGTGCGACTTTATCAGAGAATCTCCGGAATGTTTTCTTGTTAAAGCCTGAGCTCCGTCACTGCATACGGCAATGCACTTATTCGAAGGACATTCTCAGACATAAAAATTGTCACTTATTTTGAAAATTTCACTTGCAGTCGCTCTATCATGAAGAGATTCACAAAATAAATACTCTACAACAATTCATTTATCTTCTTCGAAGCATATGTAAACTAATAATTGAACAAAGTTTGTTATATGCAATCCAAAATACTCACTGTGTTTTATTTTTTGAATAAGTATCTTTTACGGAATTTGTCATTTCATAAATTCGCCGACTTACTGTATCATTTGATGATGGAACATTATTAAGTTCATTAGCCTCTTTTTCGTTGAATAATGTTAAAATGATATCTTTAGCTGCTGGTAATATAAAGTTTTCTCCAATAGTATGAGCCTGCCTAGTCTTAGCAATTCTTAGGCTTACCACGTAACTAGCTTCCAAAGCTTTTTCACTTGAAGTAACAAAAACCTTTCATAACTTGTCTACCATTTTGAACTCTGATAATTTCTTCTTAAAACAGACTTCAGATTTATCCTTTAAATTGGCATGCTTAGATTCAAGATATCCTTTAAGATGGTTTCATACTTTAATTGGATAATAGTTCACCGCCAACAACACATTGAGGTTGAGGGTCCATTTCATCTCCATTCCAAGGAAACCCAAATGATAAATACCTTTCATTATGTTTTCTAGAAACACTTTTCTTTTCTTTTCAATATTCTTAGTGCTAGTAGATTGTCCTGGATCCATAACCTTTGTATTGTCACTTTTCGCTTAGTCAATCCTAGCCATTTTTCCATTTTGAAAAATCTAGGTTTGTTTTATTATTTTTTGGCAAATATTTAAATGCACAATATATTACGAATTCTTCAAAAACAGAAGGCAATATTATTGTGTAGAAAAGTAAGGAATACAAAGCAACAAGAAGAAAAAAATTCCTACTGTTAGACACAGCAAACCGATGTAAAAAATG